TATTATTATGTTTATTTGATGTATTTTACTACAATCATGATTGTAATACATGTAGTGGCAAGGGGGTAACATGAATACACATTATATTCGTGTGTATTTTAGATTATATAATAAAGCATTATGTGTTATCCTTTCTATTTCCTGATATTCATAGAATAAAACCTACACCGTTTTGTAGACAAGCAAGAGAAAATCTCTACATTATGAAAAGGGAGTTTATTGAAGTATTATCTTGAATGAATCCATTTAGCTTTGTTTGGAAAAGCCTTCATCGGGTAAATGACTTTCTAAATGGGAATATCCAAATCAGTTTTGTCACATACTTGAAGAGTGCTTGAGCCAATAACTTTCTTAAAGAAAATTACAAATCACTTTAGCAATCAAACTTAAAGAGAGCTTGACCCAACTATCAACATAGAATCGAAAACATATTTATTGAATACTTGTATAATACTTTATTGGATCGCAGTTGTCACCTTGAGAAAAATGCTTGTTTGGCATTGATACGTTTTAAATCAGTTTGATAATAATCTTATTAGCTTGGTAAGAACAAATTTAATCTTGATAAAACATCACGTTACAATAAATATCTTCTATACATGCACGTCACTAATTAGAGCGATGTTGTTTAAACAGATCTCCAACCCCGCACGTTTCAAGGGCAAAGCAATCATCTAGTCAAGGACATGAAAGCATTATAAAATTATTATTCAATCACATAGATAAGTGATTTATGAAAGCTGTTGCTCTGATACTATTCAATGTCTTAATACGAACAAAAGTATTTTATGTTTACTGAATATCAAATGATGAGTTACATATCTGACATTGTATTAAAACATTACGTTTTGCACTATAGCAGTACTAGAGAACATGTAGAAACATTGTATGTCAAGATGTGATAACATGTGTCTCATCGACCTTGGTTTTAGTCATTGTAGACCAGGGGTTTTGTTTGGTTGGTTTGGTTTAACGTCGCATTAACACAGAGTAGGTCAAATGGCGACTTTCCAGCTTTACTGGTTGAGGATGACCTCAGATGTCCTCCAGTGCATTATTTCAGGCACGAACGGTGTCCTGAGTAGAACCCCTGACGTTTCGCAAGCTAGTAGGATAGCTTCCTCACGTGTAAAATAAAGTGGTTTATAGTCAACGACCTTGACCATTCGGTCACAGACCAGAGAACAAATTGCGACATTTTGTATGTTGAGGTAAAACGTTTCTGAATACATCTAGGCAATATACAACAATTGCTGATTCGGGGGGAATCTGAGTAACATATTATGATACATAAGTTGATACATCTTGATCATAAATTTTCATAAACAGACGTGAGTGAATAGCAATGAATAAATCATCTATCCTCGTGATTTTAATGGCAAAGCAATTTGAACAATGGGCACATTTCCCTTACTATCTTAAATATCTATATAAAACAGTAGAAATGTACCATTTAGATCATGTTATAAAATATTAATGAAGACCAAAATGATGATGGAGATCTAAAATGATTTATTTTAATCATGTATATGATGAATAATGATACTTTGTTCTGGAATATTTTATTGTTTGCGATATATTGATATGTAATATCGAATCATATAACTAACACTTTCCGACAACATTTATATATAATTCTTTTGTGTTTTATTTTCACGTATAATGGTAAGTAATATCATTATAATCATTAATGGTATTAAATACGTTCTATTATAAACCAAATCACTTCAAAATCATTCAATGAAATGTTTGAACCGTGACTGGAACACGCAAACATGGAACATCTTTTTTTATTATAATACATTAACAAAAAATGACATGATCAATAAATGCTTATTCTTTTAATACATGCGTGTTGGGCATGCAGTTACACCATGTTAGGTTCATGATTTAATCACCTATCCTGTACCGTTACTGCGTTAGCAGTGCTATTACATCTCTCATACTTTGTTTGCCCTTCTCTTATAAATAATGATCATGGAATATGTTATTTTAAGTGTTTAAGGTGTGTACCTCTATTTTATCATTTCATTTCACATAGATGAACTCATTATCGTGACAGAATGGCCGTTTATCATATACATGTATCTTCTTTAAGTTCATCAATTAAGTCGACATGTTATAAAGAATTTACAGTTTTTGCTATTCTTAATGATAACCTATGTATCAATGAAAGGTAAAATATTTTGTCTTATAGCATGTAAACATAAGTAGTAACCTTTTATTATATCATATATGAATGAGCATCTATAGAAAAACAAAACAAAAACATAAAAATGGGTTTTACCTAATGTAATTTAAGATATGTTTTAATATTTGAACATATTTGAACATAACTGCAGCATCATCTGCTGAATTGTATTATTTGAATCCTATAGCATTATACAATACTCAACTATAGCTATATATCATGTCAAATTCGTTTCTTGAGAAGAAAAAAAAAATGTTAATTGTTACGAGCATCCAGATTGAAATGTTATATTGGACGAGTCATATTGTACAGAATATATTTGAATAAGAACATTTTAATCCTTGCCCCAGTAGGGGCAAACATGTATTTCTATTAATTATAGAAAGACAAAATAGTTAAAACGGTTTTAAAGCGTCTATATAGTCTATTCAGAAGATTTTCGGCGTCTCGATCTTAATAATATCTTTACAACCGTACAGAAATAGAAAAGTACAGTCCTTTGTGTGTGCTTAAAGTGTCTGAATATAGATAGGCATTGAAAAGAAATAACCATTTCATAAAAAAAACTTAATTGCTTTATCATTTTCGACCAATATAATTGAAATGCTGCGGCCCAATCTCAATATTAAGCACATAAAACAATACATATTTTTGGGTGAACTACACGTTTCTAGTCTTTGAAACCTATTTGATAGTTCAGTCTCGTGCAAATTTATATTGATCGTTTCCTTTACAATGAAACAACCAGGAGAATCATCACAGAAACGAATACAAATAAATAATGACACGTAGACGCATAATTTATAAGAAAAACACTTAAGTAATTAAAATATAAAAAAATATTTTGTTACAGGAGGTTATTCTAAACTAATATTTAAAAATGATGAAAGAATTTCGGACATATTATGTTATACCCTCTGGCGTCCGTCTGTCCGTTAGCAATATGGATTCCGGAGCATAACCTGAGTTCCATTTGGCCCATAACATTCAAACTTCATAAAATGATTGTCCATACTGGGTAGAAGACCCCTGATGATTTTTTGGTCACAAGGTCAAAGGTCAACGTCACTGTTACCTTAAAACTGAAAATAGTTTCCGGAGCATAACTTAAGTTTCATTTGGCCCACGGTGTTCAAACTTTATAGGATGATTGTCCATATTGGGTAGAGGACTCCTAATGATTTTGGGGTCACAAGGTCAAAGGTCAAGGTCATTAATACCTTAAAACTGGAAACAGTTTCGGAGAATAACATAAGTTCCATCTGGCCCATAATATTCAAACTTCATAGGATGATTGTCCATATTGGGTAGAACACCCCTTATGATTTTCGGGTCACAAGGTTAAAGGTTAAGGTCGCTATTACTTTAAAACTGAAAACAGTTTCCGGAACATAACTTAAGTTCCATTTGGCCCACAGTGTTCAAACTTCATAGGATGATTGTCCATATTGGGTAGAACATTCCTATTGATTATGAGGTCACAAGGTCAAAGGTGAAGGACACTATTACCTTAAAACTGAAAACAGTTTCTAGAGCGTAACTTGAGTTCTATTTGGCCCGCAGTGTTTAATCTTCATAGGGTCTTACAAATGCTTCATCCTTATTAAAAAAGAAACAAAACAAAAAACCTTTTCGGGCATATAATGCTTGTTGTAAAACGTCAAAACATGAATCTCTGTTGCACGGTTGGGTATCTCACTAGTAGTCCTGTATGGCTTTGTTGGTCAGGGCTGCGTCACGTGAACGTTGCCAAACTTCGTTGATATCTGTGCAACATTTTACATCATCTCAAACAATGTCGGGGCATTTTATTTCAAATATAAATTATTGAAAATATAGAATTATCCTTTATTTGTTATAAACACACACAACTTCATTGTATTTTTTATTTATCGCCTGATATACATATAAATTAATATATTTGCGTGATTTAAGTAAGGTTTAAAGTGACTGAATTGGGAATATTAATCTATAATGCACTTTATACACAGAATATCTGTCACGCCATGGACGTCTTCCTCCATTGTCCTGATAATTATTGTTATTTCTGCAGACAAATATTCAGTGTCTATTATTTATCTAGGAGAGCGAGAAAATAATAATTAAGTGAAACGATGGGGATAAATGTTCAAGGAGGACACCGTCAATGTTATGTCGTATTTACGAAAATGGTTTCGATAAAATTAGATGCTCCGGGACATTAAATTTGTTCACGTTAGAAAGCAATTTAGTCTTACGGGTCTGTTTTAATATAGGGACATATTGGGATTTCCCCTATTATTAATGTTGTCGGACTGTCGCCTTAAATATGAACCTGTATATAATATTTGTTTGAGGCTCTATAAAAATATATATTAATTTTAGTGAATCACAAAATTAAATTAAGTAATTAAAGACGATAATCATAATCCATCAAGCTTGTTTAGATTTACATAATAATAGTAACACACGTCAGATCTTTTAAGAAAAATTATCCATAATTTGGACTTTTATTACATTACAAAAACATGAATGCATGGTCCTTTTTTGCATAAACAAACACGAGTTAGAACGTAATTGTTCAAAAGGGAACTTTTTCTGAATCTGACTTATATCTCCCGTTGTAAAATATTTATATTACAAGTCAATTACCTCTCATCTAATAAAGTAATTTGTACTTGTATATTTACATTAATGGATAAAATTAATTAATAATGAATGAAACAATGCTGTAATTTTCGTTTATTCTTGTATGAAATATATGTGAACATTTCAATAGTTAAAGACACTTGATAAACACTTGTTGTAAAGTTAATCATTTATCCCTTAACATAACAAAAGGCCACATGTTTTAAAGACACGCGTAAAATCATGCGATGTGTACAATGTTAATAATCATATTTAATACACTTATAATACACATTTAAAACAGTTATAATAACATCAGTTTGCGAAAACGTCCTGATTATATTTCCGCAGATAATAAGCTCTACTACAGAACAGTCGTACAAGGCCTTTTCTGAATCGCTGGTCCATGAAACCATACAACAAAGGATTTATAAGTGAATTGATAAAATAAAGTCTCCAGAAAAAGAAAAACTGAACTTTCTGTAATTTTGTTAGAGACCTTAACACACCTTCGGTATTTGCTACCATGCATACTAGGCCTAGGTATAAAGACATTGTCACAATAAATACACCTGATAGAATAAGCATTATCAATGTTTTCCTTCGCCTGGCACTGAGACGATTTCTTAGATACCTATTTTGCCACATGTTCAGACGTCTCAGAGACCTCTGCGGGTCAAAAGCATGAGAATCGGAGAAAAATTTTCCACGATTTAGTTTCACTTTCCTTTTAGGAAAAAGCTCAATATGAGTTTGTTTTTTATGGTATAACAGTCCGTTTTTGTTTTCAGGTATGACCTCCAGCTGCCTCCCTGAATGCTGATAGAGAGGTATAGGATCCGACAAAAGTTTTCTCCGAAGAGTAGATTTACCAGCAGGGAAGCTAGATCTCCTCTTGGGTGTATAATGGTGGTACGAATCATCACTCCCGAGATCAGGGCTAGAAAATTGAAAACTGTTGTCATCATTACTGACCGCTGACATCCGACAAGCACCATTTTGTAAACTATTATTCTGTTTCAGGCCTATTAGCAATTTCCGTCCTGTACATATATTAAGTATTGCTGTGGTAAACATAATAAAAAACATTGGTGCTACAACAGCACACAGAACGTAGAAAAATGGAACTATATCATACGCATAGGAGTCTGCTTTTTCACATATACAAACGCGTATCGAATAGTTTCCATAGATATAATCGTAATTTTGTTTTCCCCAGAAAACAGCCGTTGGTGAAGCTATTACAAGTGAAAACATGATACATGAGAAACATAGCCTTGCTGAAATTCTTACAGGAATCTGCCAAGATAGTGGATGACATATTTTCCTATATCTGTCATAAGCAAGGAGAAACAGAATAAGTCCTGCTGACCAAACAGTAAATACGTTAAAAAACGATTTCGCCTTGCACAGGGAGCTAGATGGATAACTGTACCAGTTAGTCTGGGATACAATCTCTCCCGGGAGCGTCGTTAAGGCACTAGTCAGATCTATCAATGCCATATACAGCACAAAACATCGAAAACTACAAATCTTATACCACTTGTAGTAAACTATAAGAATAAATATATTTCCAAGCGTTCCAAACACGGCTTCAACTGCAATCATCAATGTAACCGGAAGCACCGCTTTAGTCATATCCATTGAAAGATCCTCTGCAGTTAATAACTGTTTTGTCACATTTTCTGTAAAATTATAATCTCTGATTGTTTCGGTAGTATTTTTCTGCCAAAAATTAACTAAAAAATTCATATTCTGTGTATTATCTATATTTTATTTTCTACCAGCACCTGTAATTCAAATATATCAAGTAATTCCTGTTTGTTTGTTTTTTTTTGTGTTTTTTTAATATATCGTCTGCTCAATTGAAATTATATATTGTATATTTCTTAACTTTTGACACACATATAACACTGCAAAACACGGGATAAAAACTGCAAATTATAGATCTTGGTGAAAATGTCGGTAAATGTGAACTATAAATTCACAATTTTACAAACCAATAATCCAGTTATAATCATTTATTGAATACTAAACATATTTGTTTTGATTCATCTCTTTATAATATGTATATTTTTTATTTTATATTATCTTTTCCAGTTACTATCCACACACTTCGTATAAAATATTACTAACGAAAAAAAAACTGTTTGATTGCTGCCGTTCCAGTATTTTTTCCTGTGCAAACATGCTGGTAGGAGAGAATAATGCTATCGGAATTTTTTGTCAGGTTGCTGTTTAGGAGAAACAAATTGCGTTTTGGCTTTAATGGATTAAATTCTCTTTACAGCTTCATTTTACAAGGAATGTATGAACGACAGCAGAATAAATGTTTTAAAGCTAATCATTAAACATCTTCTGTGTTGCAATAAAATTTCAATGAATATCTAATTGAACATTTAGACTGCAGTTTTTTTTTCTTTTCTCAAGAAATTGACATACTGTTTTTGGTGGGAAAAGGTTTGAAAGGAATGGAAAACAAACAAAAACAAAAAAAGCTAATATTACGAAGAAAAGAACATGTTCAGTTCATACTATACTAGAAAAAGTACATTTCTGTTTTATAAATTTGTCACAAGCCCTAAGCAGTTTCCGAGTTCTGTGCAGCAGCTGTTCCAAGATGTCAAGTGCAATGTAGCAGCTGCATGCATGATCGGTTTACATATCTGAGAATGTTTATAAATTCAAAACTGTACCATCTCCATGTTTTGTGAGCCGGTGCTAGAGGGCGTTGACGGTAGCTTCCAATTGCGTCCATGAACAGCTTGATTCAGTTGAGTTGATAACAGTTTGCTCTTTTGGGCGTGCTCTTAGAATTCCGTTTTTATCTATTTTACCTCTTCGGTTCATAAGCTTCAATGTTACAAATTTATATCGTGATGCAAATTGAAAATTGTTTAAGCATGTGCTAGTGGACTTGGAAAATAATGTTCAGAAGGGGATTACTCTTTGAAAAAACATTGCATTCTAAACAGTGAGCATTGGTCAAACTATTCATTTCAAAATGCTGGAATAAAAGGATAATTATCTTAGATAAAAAATAAAATAGTTCAGGTGTAATGATACTTGTCCTAGTATAACCGATTTTCAAATTATGTTATTTCTATATATTCCTAGAAATCCTAAACCAAATTTAAATAATTGAACAAAGTTTGTTCACAAATCTTAATTATTACATTCCGATTGGGTGGAGAGGAAGGTTGCGCAACAGAATGATAAATTACACATGTATGTTAGTGGGGCTGAGCTTTTAAGTACTTACGATTTATTTTAATCATAATGTTTGCCACTTGTTAAGCATTCTTTGAGAGACATTCTAGATTCTTTTTGAAAACACCGCTTAAAATTACAGGTATTAATATCGTAATATAAATGGTTGACATTATTATTATTTTGTTTCTTATACAATTCAAAGATAAAGCGTTTAGATTTATTTACACGCTCCTTGCACAATAGCTCGGAATAGGTACCATTCTTGTAGACGTCAATTTAAATTGATTTAATTGTAAAGATCGAAAAGAAAATAGTCAGATTATAAATATTTTTAAGATAGCTTCCATATTGTATGTTTTTTCATTGCCTTTCATTTTCATCTTCCCTTTCACAAGATTTTCTTGTTTCAAGAAGAACTTTTTTCTATTTGTATAATATTTTATTTTCAGTCCATTTTTCTGCTATACAGTTCTCAAGCAAGCGGAAGCAGGCTTTATTATATTAATAATAAAAACAACAACAACAACTACAGCATCACAGTGTCTGATTCATTACCCTATTTACGTGTATGGTTGAGATAAAAAGAGCCTGTTACATTAACACTGATTAAAATCATTTATATAACACATTGTTCCACTATGTAATTAGATGTGCTACTTTGCGATACAATTTATTCTGTCATTTTATATTAATTGTCTTCTTTTCTATTGATTTGCTAAGCCCAAGCAAATATATGGATGATAAGTCGTAGAAATTATAACAGTGATTTCATAAATCTACAGAAATCCTAAAATTCTCATGAGAAACAAAATATATTTTCCGTATAGAAGAGAACAATGTTTATTTAGAACAGCCTCGGTAAATATTCCTACAGCAGACCATTGTTATCTGGTTATGCTATTTTGTTCTACAATGGAATTGCTTATATAATCCATCTCGTTAAATAAAGCAGCTCTCTTTTGTTCGCAAATCTGCGGATGCAAGGGCATTCTTTTCGCATATTATATTTGTATATTTGTAACGGAACAAGACATTACCAAACACTTCACATAGTTCCTTTGCGTTTTTACCCCCTTCCTAGAAACAGGAATTATTATGCTGGCTCATAAACAATATCAAAGCTGAATAGAACTTGAATTAATGCAAGCTTTTTCTTTACAAATTGTAATAAATATTATTTCATTTGAAATTGTTTACGAAAATGTAGGACAATATGAGACGCCATGGCATCAAGAAATAATATTTTATCTCGTCAAAGAGGTCATTATTTTGATCAAATCATTTTAGTCTAGACTGTTTTTACAAACTTTATGTTTATGATATTTATGAAAATCTGCTCACTCCCGTTTGATGTGAATTTCTCAATCAAATATTTCTTTGTTCAGAACATTTTATCTTATCTGTTCAGCAAATTATTTCATTTTTTAAACCACTGTGTCAGCTCATTATTTTTTAGGGTGTCCGTGCCCGAATGGTTAAGGTTGTTGACTTCGTATCACTTACCTGTCACCGCTGTAGTCTCGAATCCAACAAATAACTTTAGATCATTTCATGTGATGAAGCTATCCAGCTAGTTTACGGAATGTCGGTGGTTCTCAAGTACCCGTTCATACCGGAAATAATTCATGGAGGGGCACCTGAGGTCTTCATGGAAGGTCGCCTATTCCGAGTTTTTGTTTTTGTTTTTTTTTCTTCTTTTTTCCAAAAATAAGAAATAGGGACCAATTTTCTCAAATCAAGCAAATCAACGTATGTGTGTGCAAGTAAAATATCGATTATGAGAAATAAAACAAAGACAAACGATATAATAAATATAATAGATTGTGATAAAAGATGCGTTTTGGTTTGCTTGTTTTTTGTTGTTTTTTTTTTTGTTTGTTTGTTTGTTTGTTTGTTTGTTTTTTTAAAGAAAAGAAATTGCATTGGAAATTGTATAACATAAGGGCAATTTTCATATTATTTAATTATTTTCTTTATCTTACCTCGTATCCGGGTTTTTCAAGAAGCAGGGAAATTATAACAAAAAAAATTTAAAAAAATTATATATTTGTTTTTTAAATTTTTAACCCTTTCCCATTTAAAACCCAAAAGTTTACGTTTTTTTAATTAATGAGTATTAGGGTATGATATCTTGTATAGGACAAACAACAAATCTCCTTTACATTTTCTATGAATGTCTTGTATCCGTACAATTATAAAGCGACGAAAAGGCGACCAAGTAACAAATCTAACAAAGATCAGAAAAAGATCAAGAGGGGTAATTGATGTCTCTTTGCTCTGCATCCTATATTTCAATGTTCGCTTAAACAAAAATTGGTCGTTTATCCTATTATTTTACAATTCCATTCTCTCCAAATAAATAAATAAAAATTTTTACCTGGCTCTAATGGATGGTGAAACTGACCGGAAATGCGGGTATTAGTATACTCTATTTTGTCTTATTACTCAACATAAACTCGGTCCAGATAAGTTCAAATAACACGAATGTGCGGTTGTTCTTATTTCCTTTAAAGTGTTAACATGATTACGCTCAAATATTCATTAAAAATATCGCCAAATCACATCAGTTAAAACACTACGACCATACGAGAGACGAAATTTCAAATGGCGAGAGGTCAAATCAAAACAAAATGGCTTAACTTTGTTTACTTATGTAATAATTTCCTTTTAACACTATTGCAGAGAACGAAGCTAGTCTAAATAATAAAGCATCTATGCGTACACTAAATGACATTTGCAATAAAACAGTTGATATCAACATTTTTATGTGTAAATGTTAATGGAAACAATAACCGGATTTTCATATAATCTATATGAACGACAGGCATCTACTTAAAACACCTAACAAACTGTCTTGATATCTCATACACATGTAATGAAGTCATTTTAGCCTTCCTGTTTACTCTTATCTGCTCTGTACGTTTCAATGACGACTGTTTGATAAAGGTCGATTGAAGGCCACGAAAAAAGTGGCCATATTATACCATAAAAAAATTGTACTTTAAATATCTGAAGATTGCAACAAACACGTCACTTAAGAATTTTATATTTCATTCTGTATTTTACAGAAAAATTACTTTTTTTAGATGATTTTTGCAAAAAAAATGTTAAGTCATAATCGAGAATGTATTACATTAAATTTTGTACATTTTGACAAAAATGATACTTTTATTATTCAAGTTGTGTGAAATTTAATTCATTTTATTTAAATAATGAAAACAAAACGAATGTAATTGTTTTATTAAATTGTTTAATACATCTCTATAGAGACGCACAACTCACGTATTTGCTTTTGACAACAAACGGTCTTTTTTTTGGTAAACAATGGTACCAAGTTTGAAGTTGAATAAAGTCCAACATTTAATTTTTAGCTGATTGTATTAAGTTGATATATATTATCTCCATTATTATCATTCTACCATTCATTGCTTTTTTCAGCTGCTGGTTTGTCTTATGTCTTTTTATAATTATGATTTTACACAGACATTTTTCTCTTAAAACTTTCCGTATTGGCATATTCACATTATTCCTAAGGCATAGGCTGTTAAAAAGTGTTATAAGTTTCTAAAATATACTGATACATTTACATTTATAATATGCACATATTCAGTATAACCTGAGATAGGCTCTTGGAAATACGTAATACATTTATACGTAAATAATAAGAATAATTAACATATTATCATGTACTGTTTTAACAAACATTTCCATGCAGTTACCAGAATATATTAAATCATACACCTCACACGAAGATCGGCTACAATTAATATTTGCGAAATTATCAACTAATTTTACCTGTCTTAAAGGTATACTCACATGAAAAATGTATGTCAAATAAACATTCCAGTATATTTACTTTTAGACAACACTCTTCTCGTTTTGTTCGATTGTTTACTTTTGACAGCTATCTTCCTATACAGCTTTTCTTTTCAATGCCGTCATTATTTGATATGAGTTAAGACATTCTGTAACTTTGGATGCCTTGCTAGTTGGTATAATGTCTGTACAATAGCCGAGTTAATGATCCCTGATGCAAAAAAATGACGTGAACAGTGTTCAGGAACATGTTGTAAAAATAGAATTCGTTAAATACAAATTGGTAACATTCTATAAAACGGAACAATTTTAAAGTAAAAACACAATTATCAGATTAATAAGGGTATATTTTATCTAGTAAGCTTGTGAATTTCCAACTTAATTTTTCATATTTTATAAATCTACCAGTATATGGTCAAGAAAAAATGATCTGACCAAGGAGAACACGAGGTTGAAATCATAACTACATTATTCAGTCAGAATTTGAAAACACGTAGCAATTGTTTTAATTAATTAATTGTTTTATCATCTCTTTAAGCTCACGTTTTGTTAAAACCGGTCATTATAGTTTGGCATAGTACCAGTTTGAATGATAAAGTCCACAGTGTTTGGAAATATGTTATTAT